TTACATAAAAATTTCTTTTGGAAGCAAAGTTCTTGCTTTTTCAAAAGACAAATTCTTTTTATTTGTTCAAAAACTGGATCAGAAAACTCATTTGATATGAGGTCTGATAGTTGAAGAAAATTGTTTATTTTTTCAAAATTAAAATCTTCATTCAAATTCATTTGTTTAAGAATATTGAAATAAAGATTTTGCAAGTCTTTTAATTTAGCTGTTTGCTCAGCTAATTTGTTGGCAAAACTCTCATGTGTTTTCGAAATTTCACTTTGTTGTCTACAATGTGAGTTTTCCAAACTCTATTGAGCTATGTATAAATTTCTCTAGATATATCAGTATTGAAAAAATCTTTTATCTCAGATTCATCTGGTTTAAATGTCTAAATATTAGTTGGAACTGGGTTAGTTCTCATTTGATTCTTTTGATAAATAAGCATAGCTGGTGCACTGTAAAATATTTTTTTTTAGCTTTGGTCATGCTATCATATGATTTATGAATGGCTCCTGGAAATCCGCAAACTTATTGATTGGCTTTATTCCAGTTTGTGTAAATTCCAGGTTGTTTTCCTGAGAATACAACATAAACTCTTTCTTGTTTGGGGATTGCTTTTTTAGCAATTGTCACCCAATCTCCTTGAGCGGGTTATTTACCCTTATCCATTGTTTTCCTCTTGGTCTAGAAGTCTCCTGCAAAAATCAAGATTACTTGTTTAGTAATTTAATTTTCTAAAACAATTTTTACTAAAAAAATTTGCAAGAAAATTGTTAGTACCTTTAAGATGTTCTACCTCAAAAGTATATTCAAAAATTTTATTATACTAGGCTAATCGTCTTTCTTGCTCAATAGGTTTTTTATTGATTAAGAAATCTCTAACTGCCTTATTATCAGTGCGTACAATAAAATTTTCTGGAGCTAAATAAATATGAAAACTTTTTATTGCCAATTTTATTGCAAGTAATTCTTTTTCGAAAATAATATATTTTTGTTTATTTGGTTTAAATGTTCTAGAATTATATCCACAAATTAATTCTTCTTTTGTAATTTTATGGGTATTGGATTTTTTTCTTGGTCTAATCCCATTTTCTGATAAAGGTATCTTTTTATCATGCCATAAATTACTGGGTATAGCTTCAAGAACACATCCCCAGTATGCTTCTGAGACATTTGTTTCTAAAATTAAATTATCACCTGTTTTAGGAAGATAAACCTCTGGTAAAGTTTTAACATTTTCTTTAATTTGTTTAATTAAAGCAACATCTTCTGCTGTTCATTCAAAAATAACATTTTTTCTTAATTTGGTTAACCAAGGAATTTCTATTTTTGAAAGATTTTGGATAAAATTTTGTCTATAATTTAAAATGCCTAATAAATTCTGTAATTGTGTTATATTTTCAAAAGTATCAAGGAAATCTCGTACTTTGGACAAAATATGTTCTTGTAATTTTAAACCTTTCTGGTCTAAAATTATTCCCAAAAATTCAATTGATTCTTTTTCTAGTTCAATTTTTTTTGGAGACAAAATAATTTCATATTTTTGGAATTTTTCACAATGTAATTTTAATGTTTCTTATGCTCCTCCTTAGTTTTAGAGAAGATAAGTATATCATCAATATAAACTACATAACAATCTTCAAGATCTTTAAAAATTGTATCCATCCACTGTTGAAATACCTGTGGTGCTATGTTTAACCCAAAAGGCATAACATTGTAGTGGTAATGTCCTCTAGGTATACTGAAAGCTGTTAATTTTTTTGACTCTCCAGTCAATTTAATTTGCCATAATTCACTTTTACAATCAAATTTACTAAAGATTTTGGATCATTTGGTTAAGTTAATCAAAACATCTTTTCATGGAATAAAATGTCCATCAAATTCTAAATTTTCATTTAGCCGTTTATAGTTGACTACTATTCGGGCTTTTCTTTTTTTAATTTCAGTATGGTTTCTTACCATAAAAGCTGGGCTAGAGTGAGGGCTTTTAGTTTCTTCAATTAACTTTTTCTCTAAAAGTTCCTGGAGTTGAATATCAAATTCATCTGTATCTTGTCTAATATAGATCATTGGTTTTACTCTAATGATAACATTAGGGTCTTTTAATTTTAAACTATAATAACGTAGACTACGTTGCCATAGTTTTAATGGATGTTCGCTAAAATTTTCTTTCAAAATTTTATAAATCCAATGTGATTCATCAATAGTTTTGATGATGTTCGCTAAAATTTTCTTTCAAAATTTTATAAATCCAATGTGATTCATCAATAGTTTTGATGATGAGAGTTAAATCACCACGCGACACGGGTGCAAACTCTTTATCACAAATATATTTATGTTGCTCTAACAAGGGAATATGAATTAAGACATTGTTTATGCTTAATGAAATGACTTTTTTCTGTATTTGCATTGGAAGGTATTTATATACAAAATTGTTTCCAAGAAGGAAATCTCCATGCATATACGGAAAACATAAAATTTTTGGTATAATGAACTTGCTAGCATTTAACCAAATAGCTATATTTTTAGCCTTGAATTGTATGGAAGTATGGTTGCCATAAATTCCAGTAATCAAAATTGGATGTTTTATTAATGTCCATTTTTCTTTTGATATGGCATTCCATTTACATGAGCTAACTGTAGCTCCTGTGTCTATGAGAACACTGAAGCTATAGGATTTATAACCTGCAAAATTAAATGTTCTCAATACATATGTATATTTTCTTTTTCCTTGGCTAGGAGAAAAAATAATACCATCATTTTTTGTTTGAAAATGATACATATATGCAAACTTAATATATTAAAGTTGTTTTCTTGTTCCTGGAAAAATAGGAATCTGAACATTGTTTGAAGTAATAGATTCTTAATTAGAATTATTACTTGATTCTCCAATGCTTAATTTTGAAAATGATTTGTTAGGAAAATCTTTTTCAAATACAGAAGTTGATCTTTTAATTTTTAGAACTGTATTTTTAATATATAATTTTTTTCCTGATGCTTGCATTTGTAATTGTGCAGGATTTTTTTTGTTTTAGAAGATTCTCCTTGTCCCACTAGGTCATGGATTAACATTGTCAAGGGACTTCTAAATCGCTCAAATTCATTAGACGAGGTTGTATTACCGTGTCAAATGGTCTTGGTTCAAAGATTTTAACGATTTTATTATCGTTTGATTTTGTCTTTATTTCAGGAAATTTGGTTAATGTGAATTGTTTTCCGACGAATTGCCAAATTATGAGAATTTGATTTCATTCATAATCCTTGTGTTTTAATTCATATTCTGACGGTATATTCAAGATTAGGATCATCAAAAATTACTGCCAAAATAGGAGTATCTATCCCTTGGCGAAATAAGGCTGTTATGGTTACTTGAATTAATCCAATATGGATATATTGAATTTCAGGATATTTCTTTTTCCATCTTGCAACATTTTTCTAATAAAAACAAGGAATATCAATATTTCCTTCTTTTGACCATTTTGCTTGAGTGTTACTATTGTATTGTTCAAACACTCTTGCTGAAAAGAAGTTGAATTTTGAAAATTTATAAATTTCTACAACAACAACTTCTTGTATTTTTTCGAATTTTGTTAATTATTCATCAGTAAAAGTTTTTTCTTCTCCGATTACATCTCCAAGTCGAATTGCCTGTAATTCTTCTTGAGGTATACTATCTGATTCTTGATATATTTCTTGAATATTATTAGTCATCATGAAGATTAGTTCTTCATCTGAACTTTCTTCATCACTAGAAATTTCGTATAAGATTTCTTCTTCATCGGAAATTTCTTCGCCATATATTATTTCAAAATCTTGTTCTTCAAGAATCTTGATTATTTTCTTTGCAATTTTCTCCCTTTTTGGGCATTCTAGTACATAGTAACCTTCTTCGTTACAAATGTAACATTTACAAGTTTTTTTTTTTTTGAAACACTTGTTGATTTCTTTTTTCGAATATACTTTTTCTTTTTTCAAAAAGTTTTGTTCTTTTTCCAAGGTTTCCATTTATATTTTATGAAATTTTTGGAAAATCCTTTTCATTTAGGAAATGTATTACAATCAATTTTCTAATTTTCTTTTAAAATTTTATCACAATATTTTTGACCGTATTGTGAGTTAAAAATTTGATTTTTTATTTGTTTTTTCGCCTTTGTTTTTAGACACCGATCTGCTATTGATCTTAGAATATAATTAATGCAAAAATCAAGATTATCATATTTTTCCTTCCCCATTTTTTTTTGACAAAATCAGGATATGTTTTAATACATAACTCATCACATGGATTAGGGAGTTTATGGAAAAATTGATCTAGCTAGGGTTGATTTGCTGGTGAATCAATAAGATAATAACATTATTTAAAAGTTTGAGCATAATCTTCAAAAAGATAAATATTACATAATTCTAATTTAGTCAAAATATAATTTGTATCTATTTGCAAATTAATATCTCCTGTAAAATCATATAAATTTTTTTTTAATGATGTTCTTTTAAGATTATGATGTTCCCGTAAAACTTACGAATTCACTTTAATAATTCAAATCATTTATTTCTAGATTATAATATATATTATTTATAAAAAAAATTAAATTAATTAAATAATCACAATTATATTAGTTTACATCATTAATTTGTAAAAAATGAACAATGAACATTATTTCAAAGTTAGACCGTCAGTCTTTAGAGGATAAATATAATAAAAATTAGCTTTATTTTTTATTATTTACAATCAATAATTTATATATTGTGATTTAAAAAGGAAAAAAATTCAGATTATTGAGGGAAGAGAGTTTACCTGGAGATCATGCAATGCAACATCAATAATGTTAGAAATTATGAAAAATATATTATGAAATTTATTAGGAAAATTTTTTATTTTTTAATTAATGTATGATATTTTGTTATATAAATAATTTAAAAATAAAAAAATTTTCATAATTATTTTCATAATATTTCTCTCATAATTCCTTATTAATGTTCCCAAAGATATTTAAGAACAGTCCACGTTAGCTTCAAATATGCAGCATTCGAGGACAGCTATACTTTCCCTTTCCGCTTCTCATCCACCAGTTTCAAAACACAGAAATTTTTTTTCATAATCCCTAACATTTTTTATCCATGTCCTGACTTCCCAGTTTCACTGTCACCTCACCTCCCTCCCTCATGGCTTCCTCCATTCTGAATTCGTTCTTACTACTCTTCTTCTTACTCTCTCTGCTCTTCTTCTCCACAACATGGGCTCTCGACTCTTCTTCTTTTTCTTCCACTACTACCACTTCTCTAGATTCCCATCTCTCTTCTATAAGATCTGTCTGCAAATCCACACCATACCCAGACGTCTGTTTCGACTCACTCAAGCTCTCCATTTCAATAAACATAAGTCCCAACATCCTCTCCTATCTCCTTCAGTCCCTTCAAACAGCCTTATCCGAAGCTGGAAAGCTGTCCAATCTATTTTCCCAAGTGGGACCCTCCAACATCATCGAGAAACAGAGGGGAGCCGTCCAGGACTGCAAGGACCTCCACCAAATAACAGTGTCCTGTCTGCAGAAATCAGTGTCCAGAGTCAACTCAGCTAACACCCAAAAACTAGCCGATGCGAGGACCTTCCTCAGCGCAGCCCTCACCAACAAGAACACTTGCTTAGAAGGCCTTGATTTCGCATCGGGTCCTCTGAAACCGACCCTGGTGAACTCTATAATCACCACTTACAAGCAAGTCAGCAATTCTCTCTCAATTCTCTCTGGTTCCAATTTTGAACCACCGGCCGCATTGAATGGCCACAACAAGCGCCGCCGTCTCATGGGCATGGGTTTTCCGGAATGGGGGATTTCAGGGAAGGACCGCCGCATCTTGCAGAGTTCCGGCGACGCATATGATCCGAGCCAGGTGCTCACGGTGGCCGCGGATGGAAGTGGAAACTTTACGACAGTCACTGATGCTGTTAATTTCGCGCCAAACAACAGTGATGTGAGAATAATTATATATGTGAGAGAAGGGGTTTATGAGGAGAATGTGGAGATACCAAATAACAAGCCCAACATTGTGATGTTTGGAGATGGAAGCGATGTTACTGTAATTACGGGCAACAGAAGCGTGGTGGATGGTTGGACTACTTTCAGATCAGCCACTGTTGGTAAAGTTCCAACCTTTCTACAAAATGGAAATGGAATCTACTTTCATTTTTGTATTGGTACAACCTTTCATTTCTATTGCTACGGAACTTTAATATAGGCTCAAATGAACACAGCCGTATTGAATAGGCTGGAATTCGGGTCGGTAAGACATGGTTCGAATTCGTTTATTTATTTATTTTTTAATTTAAACGTTAAAATTCTAATAAATAAGTTAGAATATATTAAAGTTTAGCTTGTTAGGTGGGTTGCTTAACATTTATTATTTATATATTGAAAATATAAAAATATGTATAAAATAAGATAATTATGTTATTTATAATATTTAAAAAATATAAATGTAACTAATAGATAACCGAAAATAATACATTATTTATATAATAGTTGTGATAGATATTATAATTTTAATAAAATATTAATTTTTTTATAGTATATTTAAATATATTTTATATATAATTTTATAATTCAAATTTTAATTGTAATTTTAATTTAATACGCAAGTATGAATTTATAATTTTTTTTTGGCTCATTAAAACTTGTAATTAGGTTCTAGTTTTAGTTAAGTCTAAGTCAAATCAGCTTGAACTCAATTTGTTAAATTTCTACTGAACTCGAGTTTAAGCTCAAGCTTAAGCTCAAGTTCAAACTCATTAAACTATTAATAAATAAACTCAAACATATTAAAACTTGGTTCGGCTCATTTTATGGCTCTACTATAATACCATTATTGAGGGGCCAAAAAAGGACCTAGAAAAAAAAAATTAGGAAAAGTTGCATGTGAGGTTTAATTAGAAAATTTATAATTTTAATAATTAAAATTTATAAGCTTTATCATGGATCTGAATTTTTTTTAAACCAATAAACTGAATTATTATTTCCCAAAAAATTTAATACTCTAATAACGAATGATTTATTTTTTAAATTAGGAAAAGTTGCATGTGAGGTTTAATTAGAAAATTTATAATTTTAATAATTAAAATTTATAAGCTTTATCATGGATCTGAATTTTTTTTAAACCAATAAACTGAATTATTATTTCCCAAAAAATTTAATACTCTAATAACGAATGATTTATTTTTTATTTTTTATTTTTTAAATCTAATTAATCTAACCATTTTTGAAATTGAACTCTTGTTTCTAACACACGACATTAAAAAGAGAACAGCCCCGTTTGGTAGAGTTGTGTGAAAGTGATTATAACTTATAGCCTAACCGCTTATAGCTTATAGCTGTGAACATAAGTTGATTTTTGACTTATAAATTAAGTTTCACCTCCCCCACTCAAAGAATAAGTTGATTTTTGACGTACAAAAAGGTATAAGCTGTATTGTTAAGCTGAACTAAACACATCAAAATAGCTTAAATTAAGTTAAAAATTGAAAGTTGAAATAAGTTGAAAATAAATCTTACCAAACATGGCCAATATAAATGTTTGGGAAAAAATTCATTTTTCCACTGCTTGGAAGGAACAAAGTAACGCCGGATAATACTCTGCCCAACTAGTGTTCTTTTGTTCATGCAATACAGCAAAGTTTGTTTCTCAATTAAACTAAAATTTGAAGTTATTGTTGTTTGCCTCCCTTCCCAATTCTAATGTCAGCTGTCTCCGGGGATGGGTTTCTGGCAAGTGACATAACTTTCGAGAACAGGGCTGGACCCGAGAAGTACCAAGCAGTTGCACTGCGCATCAATGCGGACTTAGCAGCAGTGTACAGGTGCACCATAATCGGTTACCAAGACACACTCTACGTCCATTCCTTCAGACAATTTTATAGAGAATGCGACATTTATGGGACCATTGATTTCATATTCGGTAACGCAGCCGTTGTTTTCCAGGCATCCAACATAGTATCAAGAAAGCCCATGCCAGGGCAGTTCACAGTGATCACTGCCCAGTCCAGGGACATTCCAGACGAGAACACTGGGATATCCATACAGAACTGTTCCATTTTGGCTGCAGAGGACTTGTACAACATGAATAATTCCAGCAGCAGCAAGATCAAGAGCTATCTGGGGAGGCCGTGGAAGGTGTACGCTCAAACGGTGTATATTGAATCGTACATTGATGAATTCATCGATCCGGCGGGGTGGACGGAGTGGCCTTCTAGTGATCCTCAAGGAGGCTTGGACAGTTTGTACTATGGAGAATATGAGAATAGTGGGCCGGGTTCGGGGACTGAGAATCGAGTCAGTTGGGCAGGGTACCACGTAATGGATTACTATGATGCCTCTAATTTCACAGTGTCTGAGTTTATAACTGGAGATGAATGGCTGGATTCTACTTCCTTCCCATATGATGATGGGCTTTAATCTAATACTATATAATAATGTCTTTTTTTTTTTTTTTCTTTTTAATTCATAATGTGTTTGTCACTGTTGGTAATTCGATGAGTACAGTAAAATGTACGTACCTGATAGTCATGAAAAAAATTAAAAGAGAGAAGTTATGAGATGATTGAAGGATTGAACAAGTGTTTAATGTTAGTCCAAAAAAAACAAAGAACCAAGTCTTTAATGTAATTTATGCTTTATGACTGATGCATGCTTTATAATTGTCGGTGGTGGGATAATCAACCAACCAAGCTTGTCCCCAGTCAATTTTTTGGACAAAATGAATAGGAGCGTTTTTGTCGGTGTGGGTCCACTCGTATTCCATATGATAATTGAAAAAAATTAAATTAATTACACAATAAGAATTACTTAATTGGCTCATATTTTGATTAATTTTATTTTTTTATATAGCGTGATGATTGTTTTGCATCAGTTCTATTGAAGAGCTTGACATCATGGCTTTGCAAGTAGCAGCCTCTCATCCCTCACCATGGTCAATCTAGCTACTGTTGCCGGGTGAAACATTTCACTTGAGCATTGAAGTTGGCACTTGAGTATTCACTATGATTGATGATTATTAGAGAAATTTGTTGAATTCACCCATGTGTGGTGATCATCCAAGTCAAGTTTGGTTGGCAACAATGGGAAGGCAACCAACCAAAGTCCACCTTGGCGGCCACCAACCATCTTGAAGAGTCAAGGATGGAGGCTGCCCAAAGACTCTCCCACCTACTCCCTCACCTATAAATGGAGGTTGAGAGGAGAGAGCCAAAGTGAGTAAGTAAGAGAAGGAGCAAACCGTGAGACAACAAAGAGAGTGAGAGATGTGAGGCGGAGAGACCGTCTCCCTCGGTGTGAGCGAGGGAGACGGGTGAGTGGCTGAGTGAGGAGAGTGTGAGCTCCTCCTCTATTGTAATCTTTCTGTAATCTCCTCATTGGTATAGTGATAACCGGTTACTCTCCCGTGGACGTAGGCATTGGGCCGAACCACGTAAAATATTGTGTCTCCTTGTGTGTGGGTGTGTTTTTCTGCTTGTTTAGATTTCTATAAGGTCTTGGGCGGGATCCCAGATCCCAACAAAATTTTCGAAGTAGTCAGATTTGTTGTCTAAACTTGGATTTTGTTCACATGGACGGTGAGTTTGTTGAGAATTGAGTAAAATTAGAAGCAGTTCACTCTGATAGCTATCAACAAATGAGAATAGACGGCCATGATCCCATCAAGCTTCTGTTATGCTACAATGGCCCAAACTCAGCTCATTTGTAGAGTGATACTTAACTTTAGTGATTCTATGACAATCAAATGGGTAATCGATTCAATTACCACATGGGAGTGTAACTTTTTCACAAATCTCATTACAATAGTCACGAATTGTCATAGCCTTTCATATTCTACTACTATAAATTCTACAATTGATTTTGATAACATTTGGTTCATAACCTTTACCATAAAGAATCGTAACATTATACAAAAATTGTGTAGAACTCCAAGCAAATCATGCTTCTGAATCGTACTAAAATAAATTCGATTGTGTTGGCAATGAAAATTTAAGCAATTGGCAACAAACACAAGCAACACTACTAATCAATATACATACACACATATATATATATATATATATATATGTATCAAAGCTCATCAACATATAATGCTAATAAAAGTTGGAGAAAAATTTAGTAACTAAAGATTCTTATGCGCACGTTCCCGGGTTCCCAATATTGTGCACAACCCAAGTATGTAACATTTTCCCATTTCGAAATGGAAAATGATTTACAAACACATTCAAAATTATTTGACAATGACATCACATTCACAATTATTGGACAATGACATCTTGCAATTATATGTCACGCTAATAGGTGTTTTAACTAGAAATAAAAGGATAATACTATACAAAACAACAAATTGTGTGACAACCCAATTGTTTAATTAATTTAATAAATAAATAAAAGAAATAAAATTAAGTAAAATAAAATATTTGATTTTATAATTATACTCGCCAAAATGTAATTTAACTTAAAATTAAGAGGCATAGTTTACCAAAATAGGATTAATATATTGTTTGGAGGTCAAATCAAAACAACTATGATATATATGTGCTAAAATATAATTTGGGGATCATTGTGACCTATCATAAAGATGGTATATAATTATTTTAGGAGTTGGGCCAAAATGTAATTACTCAACATATAAATTACAAGTAAATTACAAGTGACACCACAAATGTTCAATTAATTTTACACTACTTTAATATTAAATGTTGGAAGCATATGATTTAAGGAATTAAATGCTATTAAATTTTGGAATATTAAAAAATGAGAATTTTGAGGACAACATTTATTGTAAAATTACGTATTTTTATAAATAAAAGTAGTATATTTTTCGAATTTTTTCAATATAATTATTCACATTATTTTAAATTTAATAGTTGTATATTTATACTGAAAATTGTTTCAAAAAAAATAATTTTAACTTTATTATTATTTGATATTATTTTATGAATATTATGATATTTTTATTATATTTTTCCTAAACCGAAATACATTAAAACATTGGCCTTGTTTGGTTTGTGTTTCTCAAAAAATTTTGAAAAAAATTCTCTACAAATAAGTTTTCAAAAGTAATCAAATTAAACAAATTTTTTCAAAATTTTTTTCTAGAACTTGTTTGGTTTACAAGTTTTCCAAACAAATATCTCTCTCTCTCATACACATCAAATCAATCACTTCTTCCAAAACTCTCTCTCAAAATAATTTTTCAAAACATCTTTTAAAAAAAAACCAAACCAAACAAATTTTTATATTTTTTATTTCAAAACATGTTTTTCAAATACAAACCAAACAAGCCAATACTTTCTGTACAAGAAGGATGCGTGCCACCAATTCTCTTGCTACCCATGCCTCTTCCTTCCGACGCCTTCTCGCCTATATATAGATGCCAATCTCATCATCATTTCCCCAAAACTCTCCTAGTCTCTCTCTGCCTCTAGTTATTTCTTTTTATAAATAAAACTGTGTTTTGTTTGGAATATTTAGTGAGTAGCAGTGAACAGAAAGTAAAAAGTTAAAATTAACATAAAGGTAAATTATATTATATATTGAGTCACCATAATATATTTTACGTATATTTTGAGTTGCCATAATTTATTTTATGCAATTAGTATTTTATAAATTATATTAACATTTCAATTATGTTAATTATTTTCTAAACTCTATTTGCTTAAATTGAAACTCATGGATATGTTTGTTTAAATTTTAGAAATTACTTGACAATGATTTTATAAATAATTATTTTTTATAAGTACCACCACGGAAGTCCCATGCTTTGGGGGATTTAAATAACTATTGGTCTCTGTTTGATCACTCTGTGGCCCTCTGTTTGTCATGAATCCATTGACTTCTGTTCTGATTGTCACTCCAGTGATCTTTGTTCTGTTCTGTACTGTGGTTATGATTATTGGCTCATATGATTTCTGCATTTTGCTTCTGTTATTTAAAATTAGTTATGTATTTCAGTTACCAAATTAATCTCTGTTTAGCCAAATAATTATCTATGGATTTTTATACCCTCATGCTCATTTTATAATATTTCTCACTCTGCCATGTACTTATAGTTGTTAACCACTTTCAGGTGACGTGTCAAAACCAGTGCATGGGGTAGGCACAAGGCACTTTATAGTCATAGTATAGTTCTGGTATTGTAATTGAATAGAAGCTCCAATATATACATTTTTTTTATACTTATAAAAATGTGGGTACCCTTTTGTTTTACTCCGCTGCACTATTAATTTGTTATGATTTCAGTTATTATCTTGTCGCGACACTGAATCTTTAGATGCCAGGTTTGGGTCGTGATAAAGTGGTACCAGAGTAATGGTTTATTTATTTATTTTTTTTTATAAAAAAAGAAAAAAAAATCATTGGAGCATAGGACAAGCGTACAATTAGGAAGTAGGATATGGGGAGATCGGTACCTAATTGTTCCATCTTATTAGTCCATTTATTTATATTATAGTTTTGTGTGATTTTGTGCCTATTTGGTGCAGCTTAAAATCTGTTTATTCCAGCTTTCAGCTTAATTTAAGCTATTTTGATGTGTTTGGTTTAGCTTAACAATGCAGCTTATAGCTTTTTGAAAGTTAGAAATCAGCTTATTCTTCGAGTGAGGCAGGAGATGCTTAATTTATAAGTCAGAAATCAGCTTATGTTCATAGTTATAAGCTATAAGCTATTAAGGCATAAGCTATAAGTACTTTCCCATAGCTCTACCAAACAGGGCATTTGTATATTTTTGAATATTTATACATAAATTCATATATGCTTTTGTAATGGTTTTTGTTTTTGTCCCCCTTCAATCACTACTTTGCCAAAAGCAAAGAAAAGCTAAGGGGAAGATTTTGTTGCTGCTGAGTGATTGTCCACAAGTTAGATCAATACTGTGATTAATGATGGGGCTCATAGTGTACTCGGGAAAACCTTAGTTATAATTTATGTCATGGATATAATTTATAAATTATTAATATAATAATTGACATAACCAGATAATCAATAATTACGATAATTGCCAAAGTTAATAAATAGAGATAATAAGGGTCAATCATTTATCACCGATAATTGCTACTCATATGACATAAATAAATTTAATAAGTTAAGCACTGGTCTACCCACTAATAGGGGTCAAATAATTTATGTTATTATTTAACTAAGATTGAAATACTACAAAGTATTATCTCGATTTTGGGAAAAAAACAACAGAAGATCTGGCACTGCACGCCAAAGAAGGTAAATACGGGCTCAATTAGTTCAGGCAATCAAGGACCTACTAACCCCAGAAGTGGCACTGTTCCACATTGCCCTACTTGTGGGAAGACTCATTGGGGATGATGCCATCGAGGCACGGGAGCATGCTTTAAATACGGGCAAATTGGCCACTTGCTGAGAGGTCGTCCAAAGCTTACCAATCCTATAACAAGCCCCTCTGAACCAGCCCCAAAACCCGTGGTACCTGGAGGAGTGAGGAAGGACCAAAAATGCCAATGAAGAGCTTTTGCCTTAGTGCCTGGAAACTCGGAAGGCACCAAAAATGATGTGCCTGGTATACTTTTTGTCTGTGGTCATTTAGCTCATGTTCTCTTTGACTTTGGTTCAACTCATT